GGGTATCTTAAGGTCTCTATTGTTTGCGTGGAGTTCTGCGTGATAAATCCAGCGATGCGATTGGCCGACCCACACCACGTGGTCAGTGATCAACCTCAACATTGTGGCGTACAGTCGCTGCTCAGTATAAAGCCGCAAAAAGTGAACAATTCGGCTCCAAATCTGCACGTATCTGTCCCACTGCAAGACACTGGAAAAACTTCTAAGCGAGGCCTGCGTAGCCGGTAGGTTCTTTTAAGTATTTGTTGGCCAAAAATGTAGTAATCTGTGCCTCGGTACCCAGAGAAGGAACTTAAATTAATGTAGCGGTATTCAGTTGTGTTACCTTATTCATGGTTGTTTAGGCTTATGTAATCAACAGAATTCTGGATATCTGCAGCTGAGTTAATCGGAACGCGCTACATCGCTTGAACATGAACTGGACGGTCTCTGCTATTGTACCAGTGGTCGCCATCTTGGATTGAATTTCGTGGCTAGATCGCTGTCTGGTATGCGTCGCTAGCTGGAGGGGTTATGTCCAAGGGAACGTTAATTTTGAGTCAAAAACCCAGCAATGTATGGCAAGCCAAATATAACAATATTCAATTCGAATATTTGATATTAATCGAATTTTATATTTTTATATTTGGCTAAGCTTTGTATTTCAGAGTACCAGACTTATGTCAGCTTGAGCAAAATTCAAGTAAACTGATGGAGCTGGACTAAAATTTATTGCTATTCAGAGTTTCATGCTTCTTGCGAAGCAATCATGAGGCAACTTGCAAAAGGAAAGGCTGGTTTTCACTAGCGACAGGGTCGGAATCGTAGGTGGCATCATATTAAAGAGCGCTTATGACCTTGTGAATGTCAAAAATCGGAGTTGTTAACATTAAAGCAGAATCATGAGTGCGACGGAGTCAGAAGAATCTGAATGTCTCCATTTTCTTCTGACTCCACTTATGACTCTGTTGTTTAAGATTGAGTGAAAACTGGATTGTCGGAGTCAGAAGTAGAAGTGGAAGGATAATCCCAATGTAGTTCCCATGCTTTGTGATTGGTTTAGTTCTTCCGCTTCTGCTTGTGACTCTGACAACCCAGTTTTCACTTAATTGTAAATGACGGAGTTGTAAATGGAATCAGAATGCTGTTTTCACTAGATCATTAAGTCCTACGCTTTTGATTATGACTCCGACTCTGACTCCATCGCTATTGAAACCAGCCTTAATGGTTACAGTCACAGGCAGCCCAAGCTCAGTGTGAGAGTTAATGTATCAATCAATTCCAGCTGCACCCCACCCCCCAGGCTACTGTGGGGCATTTGCCCACCTTATCAGTTCCAAGGGTGGGGCATTAGCAATTTTGCGCAGCCCAGGGGTCTGGCATTTGCCAATCCCAGGGCCACCCCTGACCTTTTGACATGCACGTGGCTTCCTATCCAGATCTATCCCAATCTTGTACCCAGAGTCTCCTGGCTTTTTGGTCAGCGGCGGAACGCCGCTGTTAAAATGGAAATTTGCATTACCAGAAAACTTGGGAATCTGGTCTTAGTGCGCATGCCTCAGTTCAAAATGGAAGTGAAAATGACAGTTCTCAAGAAAGCCTAAAGTTGATTCTTTCAGTAACAATTGTACACACGATTTTTTCAATGATAATTGATATTCATTGGTTTCCAGTGAGACTGAGTGTTGATTTGAGTGTCTCTGGGCCCTTTGGTTTAAATTTTTGTTTTGTGCATGATTTTTGTCCAATTTTCTCTGCGTGGTGACTCAAAATGTTTATACTCCGGTTGAGATGCTCAGGGTGCAAAGAAAGTATTTTTACAGCTCGCCATTCGGGCAAGCTGAAGCTAGCATTTACTAGCCCAAACGGCATTTCAACTAGGCTATTTCTGACTGGTAATTTTGCATGAAAGTGGGTATTTGCAAAGATTGCGGCCATGGAAACATATCGACTGAAGTCCTCTTATAGGCTCAGCTGGCAAGGAGGGCAACACAATCTGGCAGAAACAACTGACTTAAAAGGTACATGCTGGACAAAATACTTTTGAGGGAATCATTCTGGGTGTTCCAGCCTTTCATCAATACTGTCATTGAAAGGGATTCTCCACCCTGGCATTTGTTGATGTTTAGCTGAATTTTACAAAAACAAAAACATTGCTAGCTTTAATTTTTGTTGTCCTTGATTTCACCTATCAGGGGACTAGCCAGCCCATTGACCTGTAGGCTTGGGCCTACAAAACTTTCGGTTTGAGCACTCTACCACTTGTAATTAATCATGCATTGTTGGGGTGAGCTAGAAAGCTTTAGAGGTCAAAGTGCTGGTGAGGTCAGCGTGTACCAGTGATGCGGGCAATTTTCAGGATATGTGGAAATGAAAGTCAGCCAGGCCTACAAAAGTCACAAAGCTGGCTATGCCTCTGCCTAGCGATTTCCACTTTATAAAGCTCTTTTAGGTTATCTTAGTTTTGAGCGATGTTCATCCCGAGGTTCCTTATACTTCCGTGCATCATGTAAACTAGTCTCAGAGACCGTAGAATTTGTTTGCTATAAAATGTTACTAACCTCCATGGCTATAATTACTATTGAATTATTTAAAAAGTGTCATACTGCAATGTTTTTCATGTGCTTTTGAGCTTTTATATTACTTTGTCACACAAGACAGTTTCTATTATTTGAAGGTTTTGCTCTGTTGCATTGATGTTATTTTTTGCTGCACCTGAAGACAGACATTAAAGGACCCTTGCTATTTTTACTCAAGAAACTAACATATCCACTGCAGACAATTTTTGAATCATTGTTTTGGATGTAGTTGTTACACCTGATACTTAGACCCCCCCCCCCTGCTCACTTCTCATTGGGCCTTCCCTACCGATGTAAATGCCTCCATGAAACAGGTTAAAATCACTGTAAAAAATCTCTTAAGATATTTTCTGTACAGTGCTATAATATTGGGAAGAGGGAGAGATTGTATTTTTTCAAGAGACCGAGAGGGGAAGCTGGGTGTTGTATGGCAACATCGTATTGGCTTCATGTGAAGGTGCGAGGGAGCCAATTTAGATTGGAGGTGACAAATACCCTACTAACCCCTGACAAAAAAAACAAACAAATAAGCCCTAGTTAATCTGTCTACTCTGTAACAAGTCAGTTGAGAACATGGAACATTTGAGTGGGTTACCCTTTCCCGCTCTGTGTTGACAATAGTGAAGTGGAACATATCGGACCAAGGAAGAAGGACATTACAAAGGCTGGATGGTAATTTATCTAATCCGGTATAATAACAACAGATACTGCAAATCCTTTATTTTAAGTAAAGTCTCCCCCCCCTGTGGACGTATTTATTGCAAGCAGGTTTGATTGGGGGGGGGGGCTTAATAGAAAGGGGGG